CTGTTGACAAATTTGTAACCTCATTAAACCAGCCATTTCATGCCTACACTTATGTAATCAGTGCTTCATTACAGGATGAAAAATCCAGTTTAAAAATCCATTCCAGTTTAAAATGCTTTTGTCCAGTGACTGTATTAAGTTCACGGTGTATTTTGGCCATCTGAGAGAACCAGGCTCAGCCTCCTGGGAACTTCTGAATGGATTTCCATGCTAGTCTTCAGTTTGTCTGGTACGCAGCCCTTGACCTTTCTTGCCCCTCACCCCTGACCTTTGGTTTACTGTAAATACTGTAAAATGCATTTTGATATCATTGACATGTTTTGATATGTCAGTCACAACCAATGAGTACAGCTGAAAATAAGTTATAAAGAATCTGTTTGTGTTTTTGTATTTTAAAGAGATGCTTTTGCTGTAAAAAGCGGCAGATCGGTGGTCACAAATAATTCCTCAAACACACAGTTGGTGTGAAGAAAATGTCTTGTGTTGCTCAAGAGAATTTTGTGATTTTTGAGCAAAACCGAAAGATAACGGAGTCTATATGAATGTGAAAACACAAGATCAGAGCAATTAACCATCAAATGTGTTACCATATTAGAAATTTCAGCCATTTTACATCGAATTAAGGGTCCTAAGGCTGGAATTGTGTAGTTGCTCACTGACCTGCTTCAACGTCCAGTTGTTGGCCATCTCTGCACTTCTGTTGTGATGTATAATATTGTAACATTAGAAATGTTTGAGAGGAAAAAGTGTATTTTGAAGCAGGAAGGATCATGGGAGGGAATGACAGAAATTTCTCCTGTCATTTTCATCGTCCTTTCTTGCGACATGACAGTATTCAATATGAAGCAGCCTGTCCCACTGGGTTTGCGTTGTATTTTATAGTAGGGTAGTTCAGATCTTTGTCCTAGGGCCTTAGGTGTCTTGTGTAGCTAAATATGTCCTTTGTATGTTTCTTTATATTGTAAAGTTTCTTTAGACTAAAAAAAAAAACCCCAAACAGAAAATTTGCTTATCAAAAAGAAATGATTGCATCAATAATAAATGTAATTTGATATTTTATGTGTTCCGGTTTTGTTTTTTAAATGAAATAATTTGAGTGAAACCCAGATGCCCTACCAATAATTATAAAATATGATAAACATTTATATAACTTAATAAATATAGTAAATAATTGTAGATCTATATACAGGTATATTATAAATAAAAATTTTATGAATATAAAACGTACATTATAAATATTTTTTATTGTATTAAGTGGTAATTTTAGTAAAAAATTACATCGTATAATACGCACTTATATTTTTAAAACTAGCTTAAACATTTCATATAAAAGTCCCCTGCAGTCATTGCAACGACCTTAACTTTGTGACTTTTATTTTGTACTTGTCGGGATTGACCGTTGACCTTCACCCGGAAGCTGCACAGATTGATCGTGTTTTGTTGTCAAAGTTGTTGCTGCGCAGCTCCGTGTAGGTTTCCTCTCCCAACGCGGTAAGTATTTTCATGTCATTTCATTTTTCAGCACACTTTTAAAGCATTCAGTGCACATAAAGCTTTACACGAGAGTTGTTTCGGCACGCTGTGTGTAGCACAGTAAGTCGTGGCGCGACCTCGTTATCAAAGTTGCCGGAATGTTCTGGAAATGCGGTCATTTCTGCTAATAATCGCAGGTTTTTGAAATCGTCTCGGGAATGCATGCTCTCGCACTCGTAATTAAATACAAGAAACCTCATTCAATAAATGTTAAATTGCTGTCATAAGTCTCAGGGTTTGCGCTCAATCTATTCACAACACGCATGTTAGATGCACGTTAAAATCATTTCATTTAAATGAATATTTGTGAATGTTTTTATATTACATTTTTTTGCTTATTCTAAGACAATTAGAGTTTGTTTTCTAAAAAAAAGAAGAAGAAAAAGTACTATGGTAATGGCACGGTTTTTTTGCGAGTTTACTACGGTAATATCGCGATTACTGAAAGTAACAATAAAAATTTACAAATACGGTAATCATTCCGTTCCATAACACCACAGTATTTGCATAAGGGTTTTATTAGATTATCCAAACTTATAAGATGGACATTAAAATATAATTGAATTTAAACGAAGGTTTATTCGATCATATTTGTAATAAATACCCTTTTTGCTTATTCTACGATAACTAGGGTTTCTTTTCCAACAAGTACCATGTTAATACCATGTTTGTTTTGCACGTTGTGAGTATTTGGATTATTATGTAAATACCACGACATGTCAATATGGCAATCATTCAGGACCATAGTATTTTTGTAAAGATTCAGTCGGCGTATTATGCAGTTTTGCAGTTGATTGTAATTGTTTTTATAGTGATTGTATTTTTAATGATCATTTATTCATTTGTTTCCGATGTTGCTTTGATGTAATTGTGATTGGAATAAATCTATATGTGGCCTGTTTTATGAATATGACAATATCCTGCTGAATGCCTTTGGCAGTTTAATGATAAACACTTAATTGAAATGATTTTTGTAAACAGTAATAAGTAGGCCTATACTGTTTTGTGCACAAGCATAAAAGCTTGAGAGGAGATGACATGGGTAGTTAAAAGTCAACCAGTGTTGGTTTATTATTTACAGAGATTGCCGTTGGCGAATAATGTGTACTGATTCTTTGAGATTTTCACTTTATGCATAATGTCACAGGCTGAGCTTCTTGCTGAGGATTTTTGTTTAAAAAAAAA